CGGGATAGCTCAGAAAACCTTGCCTCATAATCGGTCACGGACATCTGGCCCTGCTCAAGCTGCTCAAACTGATACCGCAGCTCTTCCCTCTCAGAGGGTGGAATATACCTGTCCAAAAACAACAGCGTGAACTCGCTCCAAGTGATAGGAGAAGAACCTGCTGGCCTGCCAAGCCACCATCTACGGGCCCTGCCCTCCAGCTGGAAAGTAGTGAAGTCAACCCCATGCGACTCCAATATCCTCATGTTGTGCAGTCTGTCCCTGCACCTATCAATGAAGTCCTGAGCATCCTCATGGCGCTCACCTCCGAAGACAGGAGGGTGAAGTCTAGTCCATCTATCCAACAGCTTCTGCGGGTCACCATCCGCAGATGGTCTAGGCTCGGGTATCACTGCAGCAACTGGTGCTGTCATAAAGTCTGCCGGGGTAGGCTCAGCTGCGGGCACCTCGCCCTGCTCCTCGATGATAGGATCTCCCGCAGGATCTGCTGGTGGTACTACAGGGATAACTCTAGGACGCCCTCGTCCTCTACCTCGGGTCGGTACCCTTCCCCGGCCTCTGCCTCGGCCTCTCGCAACGGGGGGAGCAGCTCCTCCCGGGTCTGGAACATCAGTCGTGCGTGTCCTCACCATCTGTGAGAGAATAGAAGAGGAAAATTTCGTATGCCAACCACTGCACGATAGGAAATGAATAAAGAGTGGTTTTTCCTACACCCTATAGCCTCTCGAAGATAAATACAGACGTCTTCATACCGATCTACAAGACTCTATTAGGTTTGCCCATGACTCGTGAGACCTACGTGAACCTAGTGCTCTGATACCATGTTGTCACGACCCATTTCCAAAATAGATCGTGATGGCGCCCAACACCATTGTCAGGCAAGCCAACGCGGAAATGTAATTAAGTACTCATTTTTACTTTTACCAAAAATAAGTGCAGCAATTCATTAAGTTAAAGTCAAACCAAGAATGAATAGTAATGTGCCCAAAAATAGTTATACAACCCCCAAAATAATAGTCTACTAACGTGTGTGCCAAGACCTGGTGTCACAAGTAATGGGCAACTAGTAGAATGTACAAAAGATTAAAACTATCCTACTGTCCGAGATAGAATAGACAGCAAAAGTAAAGAAAGACTCCATCAAGCTGCTGAACGGCACAGGAAGGGAGCAGCTCACCGTGGAAATCTCGAACTATGAATCAGGGGCGCACACCAGACTGATAGCCAGATGTACCTGCCTCAGATCCTGTATAATTAAGTACAAAAGTGTAGTACGGGTACATAAACAATATGTACCCAGTAAGTATCCCGTCTAATATCGAAGAAGTAGAGACGAGAGGTCGACTTGATACTTGCTAGGGTCAAATAATATAATAAGGTGTTATGCTAAGCATGGGAGTCACAGATAATCAACAGTTTATAGCAAGAGATAATAAGTCATGTTCTGAACAATTTTGCTGTCAACCAATTACATTTCAAGTATTTAGCAGGACAAGTCATGGATAAGGTTTCACATAGATATCATGCGCACATTATGCCGAGGTCGATGGCCCGATCCAACAGAAAATAAACTGTGCACTGCTAGAGGGTCGAATGGCACGAACCATAGATGCATCTATTTCTACCGAGGCGATCGGCCCGATCCACAAATATCAATTAATATCAAGAGAACACATGAATGCACATTTATTTCCAAGTAAATTCATACAAGCGTCCAACAAGTGTATACATTCGCTTATTTTCCTTTCCAAGTCTCTAGCATATCCTAAGTGATCACACTAGCGAAAAAATATAGAGACATTCACAAATATAGCATGATACGAGTCCTAGACTACCCGGACAATTAACATAATAGTAGCTACGCACGGACTCTGGTCACCTAGTGCGTACGTAGCCCCCGCATTTAGTAGCAAATTACTCAATTATTACACCTATGGGGACAATTCCCTCTTACAAGGTTAGAAAGGAGACTCACCTTGCTCCGAAGTGCACTTCCAATACCAAGAACGAGCCCAAACCCTCAATTCGGAGTCGAATGATCCCAAAATAGTTAAATGAGGTAGGAACTAGTCAATATAAGCTCACAAGATTGAGTTCTAGCTATTTAAGCAATTCCGCAATCATTAACACAAGTTTCCTAAAATTCGACCCCGGGCCCACGTGCCCAGATTCCAAGATTTTTCGAAGGAAGTTGTTCTCTATAACCTAAGGATCGATAATATATGATTTCTAATCCATTTCATAACAAATTTCGTAGTTTAATCTAAATTTTGTTAAAACCCTAGGTTTTGCTCTAACCCCTTGATTTTACCTAATTTCTAGTGTTTAATCTACCTAGGACACAAGTATTAAACTAAGAATAGGTGGGATAAACTTACCTCAAGATGCTAGGTGGAAGTCTTCTCTCAAAAGCTCCCAAAATCGCCAATGGAGGAGTGAAAAGTGGCAAAAATGATTTAGAACCCGTATTAAATGAAGCTCACTGCTTCAGCGATTTCCGCATCTGCGGTCAGGGGACCGCATCTGCGGTCCCGCTTCTGCGAGAAATCGGACGCACCTGCGGAATCGGCCAAGTGGGCTGCGACTGCTTCTGCGGTTTAGAAGCCGCTTCTGCGGCTTGGGAGCCGCTTCTGCGGTTTTGGCCTGGCCTTCCCTGGGCCGCATCTGCGATAGGTTGACCGCTTCTGCGGTCTCGCACCTGCGGTCGACCAACCGCAGGTGCGGTTATGACAGAAGTAGATGCTTCAGCACTTCTCAAAAATTCCAACTTCACTCGAGCCTCGTCTGATTGACGCTCGGGGCTTCCGGGCCCCATCGGAACATACCGACAAGTCTGAAATCATGAAACGGACCTACTCGAACCTTCGGAACGCCCAAAACAACGCTAAATCTAAGAATCACCCCTAAAACCAATTGAGCCAAACTTATGAACTTTAAGTTCATAATTTTCCTCTAACGAGCCGAAACGCCCTTAAACTACTCGGATTGACACCAAATTTTGCGGGCAAGTCTTAAATGTTATATTGGACCTGTACTGGGCTTCGAAACCAACATACGAGCCCAATACCAACGTGATCAATCATTAATTAGTTTCTTTAAATCCTTAGAATTTCAGCTTAACAATTTCTAATAAAAATTCATTACTCGGGCTAGGGACCTTGGAATTCGATTTCGGGCATACGCCCAGGTCCCATATTTTCTTGCGGACCCTCCGGGACGGTCAAAATACGAATCCAGGTCCGTTTGCTCAAAATGTTGACCAAAGTCAAACTTAGCCTTTTTAAAAAATCCTAAGGAGTCAAATGAGCATATTTCAACCCAAATTCTTCCAAATCCCGAACCAACCATCCCCGCAGGTCGTAAATTAATTAAAGCAAGCGCGGAAGGTTTTTATTTAAGTGAACGGGGTTCTAAAAAGCAAAACGACCAGCCACGTCATTACACTGCTTTTCTCTCTCTTGTTTTCCTTAGACTGTATTTAGGACATTTTTAGACTCTTAGTTGTATTCAGACCTTAGTAGATGCTCGTGACTTGTAACACCCCGATGCCGGGCTGTGTTTTGTTTCCGCAGTTGATATATTTTGCTTTATTTTGGGATTTATCATTATTAATGACTTGATTATGGCTCATTATATCTGTTAATTAAACTTGGGGTTTGTGTCGGCTGGCCTTGTCTTCACGAGAGGCGCCATCACGACCGACTCTAGGTTTAGGGTCGCGACACAAAGGAAGCAACAGAGGGAATTACACCCTAAACCTTTTAAGCTATATAGTTCAGTCATGGAGCATTCAGATTTCAAAGGGATAGTTAAAAAAGTATGGGAGCAGGATGTAAATGCTGAACCAATGGAGAGAATCTGGATGAAGTTAAAAAAGTTGAAGGGGGATTTAAAAGATTTGAACACTTACATGGCATCCTATAAGCATCAGCTTAATCAGGCTAGACACAAACTAGAAGTGGTTCAGAGTGAACTCATGATCCACCATTTATACCAAAATCTGATTGATCAAGAGAGGTTGGCACTGGCAGAGACAGAGAAATGGAGTAACATAAAAGAACAAGTCCAAAAGCAAAAATCTAGAGCAAGCTGGATAGCATGTGGAGATTCAAACTCAAAATATTTTCATGCTCAATGGAAATTGAGGACAAGCAAGAACTACATTGCCTCTATATACAATGATAGTGGAGTTAAACTAACAGATCCTATACAAGTGGAAGATGAATTCATTTCCATCTTTACTAAGCTCATGGGTGAAGGAGGTAACAGTCACAGATACCCTAATTCAGAAGTCATACGCCAGGGACCCTGCCTCAACTTACAGCAAAAGGTTGAATTAATTAAAGAAGTTTCAAAGGAGGAAATTTTAAATGCTATAAAGGTTATGCCCCATGATAAGGCTTCAGGCGTTGATGTATTTCCTATTGAATTCTTTACTAAGTACTGGCAGGAGGTTGGAAATGACATTTGTGATGCCACAAAGCAATTCTTTACTACTGGGAAAATACATAGAGGAATCAACTGTACTGCTGTGACCTTAATCCCAAAAGTGCAAAACCCAAGCCATGTCAAAGATTATAGACCCATAGCATGTTGCACAACTCTGTATAAGATAATTACCAAGGTTCTTACTGCTCGAATCAAAAAGGCCATTGGTGGTCTCATTGGGGAATCACAATCAGCATTCATGGAAGGTAGAAGCATCACTGACAATATCCTTTCACACACAAATTGTTCAAAGGCTATAACAGGAAAGGGATCTCTCCAAGATGTGTACTAAAGGTGGATTTGAGGAAAGCATATGATAAACTAGATTGGTGTTTCCTGGAAAGAATACTACTAGAACTTGGATTTCCTCACAAGTTTATCAGCTGGATAATGGAATGCATTACAATAGTGACTTACTCTCTTAACATAAATGGTGGATTGACAACACCTTTCATGGGAAGAAGGGGATAAGGCAGGGAGACCCAATGTCACCCTATCTATTTGTCCTGGCCATGGAGTATATACAGAGGGAGTTTGCACAATTGGTGAAGAATAAAGAATTTAAATTTCATCCCAGATGCAAAAAACTTGGAGTGGTACATGTTTGCTTTGCAGATGATCTTCTTATGTTCTGCAAGGCCGATTTGAAATCTATTCGATTGCTGAAGCAGACATTCCTAAAGTTTTCTGAGGCATCTAGTCTTCAAGCAAATACAGATAAAAGCTCTTTTTATCTAGCTGGTATTTCAAATGGCCAGAAACAGGACATTCTACAAGAACTGGGCTATTCTGAAGGCACTTTGCCCTTTAAATATCTTGGTGTTCCTTTGGCATCTAAAAAGCTCTCAATCATTCAGTGCTGGCCATTAGTAGAGAAGATTACACAGAGAACAAACTGCTGGACTGCAAGATTACTTTCATATGCAGGACGATTACAGTTGATTAAATCAATTCTTTTTGGAGTTCAATCATACTGGGCACAGATTTTTCTTTTACCTAAAAAGGTGATGAAGATGGTTGAGGCTATTTGCAGATCATTCCTATGGACAGGTACCTCTACTGTCTCTAAAAAGGCACTAGTTTCATGGGAGAAAGTATGTTTACCACAAGTTGTAGGGGGCTTAAATGTGATGAACATGATCTGTTGGAACAAAGCAGCTATGGCAAAGCACTTGTGGGCAGTGGCAAAAAAGAAAGACTGTCTATGGATCAGGTGGATTCATACCTTCTATATAAAGAACCACATATTAGAGCACATGCCAATACCTAAGAATGCAGCTTGGGTAGTTAGGAAAATCCTAGAGACAAGGAAATTCATTGGAGAACTTCAAGGTATTCAAGGTGATCTCAATAGCAGGCTATGTCAACTACAACAGGGAGAGTCTTTTAATATCAGGAAACTCTATCGTTTGCAAGTCCCTCTGCTACATCGGGTGCCTTGGAAAGGTATTATTTTGCAACCAAATCTACACCCCAAATTCAAATTCATATTATGGTTAGCATTACAGAGAAGACTGGCTACAGTTGATAGGCTTCTGAAGTTTGGGGTTCAAGTTCCTCAGCAACGTATCTTCTGTAAGCTAGCTGATGAAGTATTTGATCATCTTTTCTTTGAATTCACTATGACCAAAGAAATATGGTCGATATTGCTGAAATGGCTAGGTCACAGTAGACCTATTCGAGATTGGCAGAATGAAGTTAATTGGATAAATCAAGGTGCTACAAGAAAAAATGGACATTGGGCAATAGTGACCTGTGTATTTGGCATGCTGATCTATACTATACGGAGGGACAGGAACAAGCTCAGATTCCATGGAGGGACAATAACAGTCAAATCGTAATTCATATTCACACGAGAGGAAGAGCAATACAGAAATGGCAAGGAGCACTTGAGAAGCTGAACTGTTATACTTAGGAGACAATGTAGTCTGTGTTGATCTTGTAGGTACTTAGTCGAAGTATTTTCCTACTTAGACTACAAGCTTCATGTAAATAGGATCGTAGATGGTCAGCATCTACTTGCTTTGTAAAGTCTATTTTTGTTGGAATTAATAGAAATACTATTTACCAAAACAAAAGGCGAAAATGATTTAGAAAATGAAATAAAAAAATTAACTAACCTAAACCAACCCTCACCCATGTTTGAGTAGTTAATTTAGGTAGTTAATTTCTTTGTTAATTTTCAATAGATAATTTCTTTGTTATTAACTAATTATGCCATGTGGCTTTTTTCTAGGCTACCACTTGGATTAATGTGGTGCCTTTGTCTTTGACTTTTAATAATATATAGATATAGATATAGATTTGAATTAGCAATTTTTATTTTTTTTATTTCGATTTTTATTATAAAATAATTTTAAAGTTCCAACTTTGTTGGAGCTTTATCACTTATTGTCTGATGGTTATACCACTTGGCATCATATAATTATTTATACAACTTGGCATCATATAATTTTATATA